AAAAAAATGCACATGCTGTGATTTCATCAAAACGAGAGTCGCTCCTGTCCGGAAATAGATGTTTATTCAATTTTGTTTCCAGCGCCCGCTTTTTATTGTTGAAGTCTCGCAATTGCAAAGTTTGCAAGGTTTATTCTACCTTTTCAGTATCTTTTTTAATTTCGTCACTTTCAGAAGCTGCATCTTACAAACTCCTCTGAATAACTAGTTCAAAGACGACTTCGTTTAAAAAAAGCCAATAAAAAAATGAAGAGCAAGCAGGGGGCAATAGGAAAAATTGCGAAAAAAACACAATTGACAATGGAACAGCTGAACATATGTGCATTTAGAGCAGCTTAGCCTGTTTCAGGCAACAAAAAAAGTAAAAGCTTTTTCACAAGCTTGGGAAATAGTCGTTGATTGTTTCGCTCCCTTGCATTCTTTACATTCACTCATCTTTCATAAAAATAAGCCTCGTATCAACTAGGATACTATGAAGTAGTGTGGACAGCCTCACATTGGACAGCTTTCGAGATTGAAGTTCTGCACCCCAAAGGAGCAAACTATGATTCAATTTATTTCCACACATAAAAGAGAAAAACCAATCCGATGTTCAGAAATGCTCCCTGAGGAACACTTTCAAAACACTGGAATAGTTTTTTTTTCTTTTATTATATATGCAAACTTGCACAACCATTTGCTTCAAGCAATTGCGATGCCACCCAGCGTAAGTTTAAATCCCTGAAAAAAAAAACAGAAACGTTTTCCTGATTTTGAAACAAATTAGAGATCCCAAAATCAAGAATTAAAAGACGAAAACTTCCAGATTCGAAGATGCTTCTCCTTTCCCAAAAAACCAAATTAAGCTAATTTCAGGCGGCTACATCACACTTGGCTATCGAGGCACTTTCGCATTCGGCCGAGATGGGCAAGCAGACGTAAAATTCCGGAAATTACATAGAATTCTCGTTTGTGGTAGAGCGACGTTGTGTCGTGAGGTGTTCGGCGAAACGCTGAATGAAAGTCGGGATCCTGGTGGACCAGATGATGGGGAACGCTACACATCAAGACTCTATCTCAAGCATCAGTGTCTAGAACGGGTAAGTTTAGGATTCTGCTCCTATAGCAGCAGAAAGGACATATTATTAATTAATAAGACGCTCGAGAAAGTAACGTTAGAGAAAAAGAACGCATGAGTATAAAAATGGGAGAAAGCCAGTCTTAACGTCAAAATTTTCCACCACTATAAAACAGACGAATAGGCCAAAAGCTAGTTTAATGCCAATATTCATAAAATCTTACTCCTTCGGTAGCCTTCCGCAAGTTATTTCTCGAAAATTTCAATTACAGTAGGGAAAACATCATTCTTCCACAACTTTCTCATCCACACATCTTATAAGTTCAGTTCGTGAGTTCACACACTTAAAAATGTGCGCATGAGTTTTGACAAGCGGGCTCTCAGCGCACTTCTGGGAAGCTTTGATCAATGCTTGGCAAGGGCAAAGCTGGCTGTCGAAACTAGATAACGGAGGAGTCTAAGGTCTCCAATGTAGGGGAAATTGGGAGAATAAGCCTCCAGCATAAAATTTTATCACAAAAAATAGTATAGGCTCCAATTAGAGCAAAAAAACTTATAAATTTATACTTGTCTTTAGTAGAATCTTTGGTAATAAAAGAATAGCTCAAATTACATCTAAGAAAATCATCAAATTCTAGGCATGTGACGTAATGGCAGAAAAAGGTTTCAAGTTGGTTGCCACATGCTGCAGTGGAGCTAATGGACTTGCAGCAAATCATCCTATAGCTGGAGGAATGGGTGGCAGTATTCAACAAGTAACTTATT